TTTCATGCAACTTCAAGGGTGACAATGGAAAAACATCAATCCTTTCAGTTATAAGCTTGGGAGATGGCTTTTAAAGCTATTTGTGGAGTTACAGAACAGCACGATTGTCACAGACAGTGTCTGCAGCACTGTATTTTGGCATCACGTGTGTAATAGATTTTTTTTTACTTTTACATGATTGCTTGGCTTATATACAGCACCCCAATGCTATTACATTACAGCTTGAAAAAATGTTGTTTCAGCTGCTATACTTGATTTTCTAGCCAGTGGTCAGAGGCCTGAATTGAGCTGTAGAAGTAGCAGCCACAACGTATCTAAAACCAATAGAAAAATGCTCTAAAAATATAGCTAAAACCATTAACTTCATATCAATTGAACAATGCCAAAACAGATTCATAGCACAGTTTGTGATCTTCTTTTTTGCAGTTTTACACTGTATTGGCTTAAAAGTTTAATAAAATGTCAAATTATAGTGCAAAAAAACACTCAAAAACTGCATCCTCATATTCCCCAAACCCCCTCACATCCCCATATTCTAAAATATTCAAAAAACATTTTATTATTCAGTTATGTATGTGGTATGGAAATTGGGCTGTATCAGGATAGTACACAGGCACTTGAATAGGCACCAAATAGAAAGGCAGCATAGTAGTCTGCAGCTTTTGCCAGCAGTGTATCAGCTGTGGTAAAAGTAACCATTTGGGTACCACATGCATGAGGAAACGCATGACTCTGCACCAGGAAGTTCGGTGGGAGCAGCACCTCAATGAGACAGGTCATAAGTAAAAAGCACATCTACCTCATTTGTCAAGAGCATATAGTAGGCAATTTCTTTTAAAGTGCTGCTAGTGTACCATTTTCCTCCTCCTCCATTTCCACCTTAAAGGAGAACTATGGGTCTAGGGCTTTACCCCATAGTTCTTCGAAGGGTAATGGGAGGGCACAAACTAGCGTCCTCCCATTACCCAAAGCTCAGTATACCACGAGCTGCAGCTCGCGGTATACTGAGACGCCGCAGCTGAAACAAATCCCGGCAATTATGCCGGGATCCGCCCAGCTGCATGAGTGACAGCTGGCTCTGTCTATCTAGAGGCAGAGCCAGCTGTACCCGCCCCTCCCCCGTCCGTTGCGCCAGTCAGCGCTGGAGGATCGGACAGGGGAGGGGAGAATCCAGTCACTCCCCTGTCACGGCTCTCTGCAGTGACAGGATCGAGAAGTGAGCGAGCGCCGGTATGTGTTCGCTCACTTCCCGATCTACTGAGCCGACCTGTGACAGTTTCATTGTCACAGGTCGGCTCAGATTATGAGGCTGAGTAAAAAGCACTCACCTCATAATTCTCCTTTAAGGAAGCCATTTTACTTTGAACACTGCTTAATGCGCCTTTTCTTCCTCCTCAAGGGTGAATAGCAGACATATTTTTAGGGCTGCTAATAACACCAACTAAGAAGCACCAAGTGGAAGAAACTACATAGCTGCCCCAAACTGTTCAAATAGAAGGGGTGTCCCCCAAACATGCACTGTTTTGCACTGAATAGTGTAGCCGCAACTAACATTCCCTGCAAACCCTCTGTCTGCTCTCCCTATCTATTCCAAGTATGCAACACACACTGACTGTATATAGCACTCTGTATTGAAATGTATATAGCACCGTAAAGTATGGCAGCAACTATCTCTACCTGAAAACACTGTCAGGTCTCACTATGTATTATAAGTCTCTATCACAAACTGACAAAAGGCTGCTGGGACCTTGACCTTTGCTGACACAAAAGAAATGTCCCATTATTGGCCCTTCTAAGCCACCTCACCACAGTTTAAGGACCAAGAAATGCATTACTGGTAATTGGTTGATAAAGAGGCGAATGGCCACATTAGTTTGCCATTTACCCAAACTTTAGTGAGTTTGACCCTAATCCAAAGCTCATCTCTATTCAAAAGTATTTGAGTGTATGTGAAATGTACAGTGGTGTCGAGATTGGTTGCTGTGATGATGTCCTCAGTCTCCCACCCTCATCCATTTATTCTAAAACTGGAGGTGTATCTCACATTCACATATTGAGATATTGCCCTAAGATTAAATGCTTTTGGTGTACAATTATTTCTCTTTACAATAAATGAGTATTGAAAATATTACTAGTATACCCTGAGCTAGCTACGTCATCTCAGTAACACACGTTTCCTTGCAGCAGCCAGGTTATTCAAAGCTATTGATTGATCAATTTGTAGCATTTAAACATCTCTTAGCCCCTGATATTTAGGGAATCCTTTGAAATTCAGAATCTGAAGCTTTCTTTTTATATTCTTAAACAGCCCTTTGGTATAGTTCATGGTTTATTGAGCAAGCAAAATCTGCTGCATCATACCAATTCAAGAAAAGCAATACATAGAGATCATGGGAAGTTGCTTGGCAGAATTCTTGTTTTCCACTTTTTTATTTTCACTTCCTCAGTTTTATTTTCTTCCAGTTTTATCCTTTATCCTTTTCTTATAGTTCCTTCTTTTCTACATCAAACTATTAGAAAACTGTTCAACTTAGAGAAGATACTTTTACCATCCTAATATGGCTTATCATTGGCCCTTTTTTTAAAATGTATTTTCTAACTTGGCTTGTCTTGACATGTTTTCTTATATAATACCTCTAATATCTTTATGGCAGCCAAAGCCATTCTGTAACACTTAGCAATGGAGCAATCTTAATTAAATGTGTGTTTTCTAAAAGAAAATCCATATAGTTCTCTATCAAAAAATTATCCAGCAATAGACAGCAGCCTGCAGTCATATCAATTGATATGTCATTATCAACATTTTCGTTTCTCCTATAAGAGTGGGGAGTTTGGGGTTGGCAAGCTCAGTAAGTTGGACATGATTTACCTCTGCTGGGTTATTGGCCTATATGCTTCCTGTGAGTTTCTATCTGCCTCTCAGGCCAGTTGGGAGATGTGAAATCTACCAGTATGTTCTAGTCCCCTACATATGTGTTCCCTGCACTCTTTACAGCACTTACAACCTTTTAACGTGGTGCTTGCAGTAATAATCACGGATGACGCCATGCCCGTCAAACTTGTACACGTAGATGATCACCAGCACTTCTTGAATTTGACGAAATCTTCTGAGTGCTGGTGATTTTCTACGTGTACCAGTGCCCTATAGAACATACCCAACTATGACAGCCAAGAGGCATGTACAGGTATATATGACTTCTATACTACCTGTGTCCTTTCAATGCTCAGAACTATCCAGTTCCATTACTGCCAAATATTGCACACCATTATGGAGGATAAGTATAGCATTCTTGTGGAAAATCCTTATTTTCTCTTGTTCCCATGATCGTTATTCCAGACTTTACGGCTTTAATTATGAATAAGGACACCTTGACTGGCAAATAGCAACCGTGTCCAGAATATCAGCTGAAATACTTCTGTCCTTAAAGCTGAACTCCAGTAAAACACAAATGAATGCAGTTATGTATGAATTTAAATCAATAAATGTGTTTTAATTGCTACTAGAGTAAGTATCTGCATTTGTCTTGATAGTAATTCCCTGTTTGCTTCTGTACAGTAACAACCATCCATATATTTTGCTGCTTGCATGGAGCCCAGCTTTAACTAGTAAAATACCAGTGAGGTTGTAGTTAATGACTTGCATAGATGACTCCTATAAATGTACAGTAATGCTTTAAATAAGAACTTCTGGCATAAATATTCTTAACCCATGCAGTGGGGTTACTCCTGCACTGCAAGTGTTAAGTGCTCGTCTTCATCTAGGGTCATGTGAGTCATCACGTCCTAAACAGTGTATAGGACATGAGGATGCCAAGGGACATTCTGTTGAGGTGACGGGGCTCTGGGGACCGGTCTAACAGCCAGCCAGGTTGTTTGGGTTATTATAACTGTTTTTTTCGTATCCTCTGCAAAATCAGAACTTGACCCTTACAGTGCAGGGGTAGCCCCACTGCAAGGGTTAACTTTATTTATGACCAGAGTTCTTCTTAAATGTGAATCCTGTACAGCAGGGGTGCCCACAATTTTTGTGTTAAGATCTACTTTTGAAAAGGCGAGCTACATGAGATATACCAACAAAAAAAACCCTCCTTCGCTCTCTCCTCTGGCTGTCTCTCCTTGCTCATCCTCCTGGCTGTCTTTCCTCGCTCTCTCTCCTGACTGTCTCTCCTTGCTCATCCTCCTGGCTGTCTCTCCTTGCTCATCCTCCTGGTTGTCTCTCCTCTCTCTCCTGGCTATCTTTCCTCGCTCTCTCTACTCGCTCACCTTACCGCATTTTGCAAACAGTGTAGTGCAGCAGGCTGTGTAAACTAATATTCTTTGATGTAATACATAGCACTTCAACCACCAGTATCCACCAGAAAGGTGTCAGGGAGCTTGGCTCAGCAGACTCAGGCTAATAGGTAATCATGTGTGCACAGCTAAATAAATATACCAAAATGGAATAAAGGGGCCACCATTCACACCCTTCGTGATCTACCAGCATCAGCTTTGAGAGCTACTGGTACATCACGATCTACCTAATGGGCACCCCTGCTGTAAAGTGTAAACAATAGCATACTCACTAGATCAGACTGCAAAATATATACTGTAAGTCAGCTTAGGGCCAGTGCTGGGTCTTTCCTCATCCATTTCTCTGAGATTTTAAACCTTTATACAACACAAACTTTTCTACAGACATGTCCTTAGATTGGCAGTTATTATTTCCCTCATAGCAAATTGCCCCCATTTCTTAATCATTCTGCATGAATAATAAGCTGTCTTTTATTTCCAAACGAAATCGTTTAGCTTTTCATATTAAAATGTACTTTGCTTTGTGTCATAAGAACTCCAAACATAAACACTTCATAGGAAATGTTATGTTGCAGTAGGTTGTACAAGAGCTATAATAAATAAGAATATACAGTGAATAAGCGTACAGGAGCAGAACATTGCAGTCTGTCATAATCCATTGCAGTGACAGTAAATGAATGTAGCAGACAGCTAAACCAAATCACACTCACCATTCTTGCAGACTGGACAGCACTGTTCTGGCTCATATACGGGATTTACACACTCTGGTACGGCACAGTCTGCAACCACACAGTGGACTTCATTGCTGGGCTCACACCGGCACCATTCACACGGAGAAGGCTGAGAAACAGAACCAACAGAATGTTAGCAGAGCACCATATCATAATGCATCCATATACAGGTTTGCAGGTTAGGGTATGTGCATATGGAGATTTCATTCAAACAGGAATACAAAAACAAAGGAAACACTCATTACCCATTGCAATTTCTAATTTTTTAAACAGTTTTTAAACTTCAGCCAAAAATAATATAAAACTGATTATCTCATTAAAATATAAAATACCAAAAGAAGCTTTTGCTGTAATATTCACCAACAATTCAGAGATTTTCCCATCAGTACTTCTTTCTGACACTAGATGTCCTAATGGTCAGCATCATCCAACCTACGTCCCCTGAGCCCAAGTCATTCTGGACCCACCTCAGGCTGTGACTGGACAGTGAAAGAAGCAGCAGCACATTGATGAGCTCATCTTTCTGTCATGCTGCTCTTTCCTCCTATCATGCTTCTTGCATATGAATTAATTTGTTTCTTATGTTGCTTCTTTCTTTTATGCTTTTATACTCTGTTGTAGAGGGACTGCAAGAGGCAAATTCCAGGGCAAATTCAGGTACACTTATACTACTTGCAATTAAAATAAATTTAAAGAAGAACCCCAGGCAATCAAAAAATTAACCCTTGAAGTGGGGTTCCCCCCGCACTGCGACGGTTTACTGCTCACTTTGGTCTGGGAGCTAAAATAAAGAGGATATACTCATCTCATCCTCGGTCCTGCAGCAGAGACTGCTCACCTCTCTTCCCCTCTTCTCAGGCGGTAGAATGTCCCTCAGCTTCCTCACGTCTAATGTAGTTGAATTAGATGTGATGACATCACGGATCCTTAGACCACCGGAGCCTGGGAGAGAAGAGGCTGTGGGGACCGGTCTAGCAGCAAAGAGGAACCAAGGATCAGGTGAGTATATATATATTTTTTTGTAATCCCCTAGACAAAACAAGCAGTTGACCCTTGCAGTGCGGGTGTGCATTTTTCAATTGCCGGGGGTTCTTCTTTATCGATGTATTAATGATGTCTTTTTTGTCTGCTAGAGTTCCTCTTTAAAGATGAACGCCAAACAGATATGAACAGAAACCATTTCAGTTTTTTTTTGCATACATCAAAAATATATTAAGGGCTGCCTCACAGTACATCATTGTGTTTATGTGCGTACAACAAGTGGTTCACCGCAGCATGCTGCACCACGCCAGTTACACATTAGTGTGTTGCAGGGTCATCAATTCTAAATGGCACCCCAGTGCATTTCTAGAACAGAGCTGTGCTACAGTGCACTGTATTTCCAGAGTGAAGCTGGTGCACTGTGCTCCAAAAAATGCAGCAGGACCTTTCTTATACATTGTGGTGCATTACTGACCATTCATCTTGCATGGGCTGCCTAACGCAATGTGCCACACCTGTGCTGCCCATCTAAGGCCCCTTTCACATGGGCTGATCAGAAGGGGACCCATGCACGGATACCCTCCTGATTGGGGAGTAGGGATCACAAATGGCACCACTGTGACATCCATGTCCATACAGTTTTTTCCTGGAGGAAAAAACTGAAATGACCAGACCCGGTGTTGGCCTATGGGAAATTGGATGTAAACGGTGTCCATTTACATTAGATTACCCATGTTTCAGCACGATCAGGTCTGTTGAAATTGAACACTGTTTGTTTTTTTGGGCCTGACCAGAGACAGGGGTAACCGGGTGTAAATAGACACCCATGTGTTTACACACAGCTGCCCATAGAATAGCATTGGGCATTCGATCATGTCTGCCTGAAAAACTGACAGGTGGACCCTATCAGACCGCCTATGAAAAAGGAGCCTAACACTACAGGGTTTATTTATAAGCATACAGGTGAAACTCGAAAAATTTGAATATCGTGCAAAAGTTCATTTATTTCACTAATGCAACTTATCCGTCTACCAGGAGATTTTGGAGCACTTCATGCTTTCTTCCGCAGACGAGCTCTATGGGGATGCTGATTTCATTTTCCAGCAGGACTTGGCACCTGCCCACGCTGCCAAAAAATTTCTGAGATTGTGGATCTGGGTTTTCATGAGCTGTAAGCCATAATCATCACAATTATGACGAATCACGACTTGAACTATCTTGCTTTGCATGTAATGAGTCTATCTCATATATTAGTTTCACCTTTTAAGTTGCATTAGTGAAATAAATGAACTTTTGCACGATATTCTAATTATTCGAGTTTCACCTGTATGCGCCAAAGATTCGCACATTTTCTACATGGATTCCATTTGGAAAACATATGAATCTTGGTTGAAAGTTGTGTGAATCTTGTGTGAAAATAAATTATAAATAGGCACCCTAGAGCTGTCTAAGAGAGTAGAGTGATGATTTTACCAGTGATTTGCTGCTACGGTGCCATGCTTGGCTGGGTCCTACCAGGCTCTATTGTTTAATTGCAGGGGAGTCTGTAGAGATGTCCCAGGTAGTGTAGGATCTGACTGTGCTGTCTGGCAGGAGAACCTTGATCCAAAGACTGCCTGAACAATCTTGCAAATCTTTTGCAAGATAAGACAGTTCACATAGAGGTATTTTAACTGTGTGCTGTATATAGCTAAGCCTGGAGCTTGGCTTTAATGTTTATCCTTGTTTTGCAGTTACTTTTTCTCTGGTCACGGCACAAAACTAGCAAAGACGCTTTAAAAACAGAATAAAAATGGACCCCGTGTTTGACATCTGCACCCCACTGACAACGTGTTTCAAGTCATCAGCAAACACCACTGTCGTGTATTGTATTTGTACAAAAAGAAATGGAAAGAAAATGTAATGCTAATGTTCATGTAAACAAATAAAATAGGAAGTGCACTGTACTGCTGTTTCCTTACCGTTTACCGATAAAAAATGAATCAAAGGCTGAAGTAAAAGACACCCCTGCAGATCCACAGAAAGTCACTAAAGAAAAGGAACAGCATCCAGAATATACAACGCACATTTCAAATATTATTTGTGTTTCCAATATAAATGTATGCAGTTGTATGTTCTCCGTGCTGGATATAGTTATTTGCTGTTTCATTTCCTGGATAAAGGGTTTTCTTTTCACATGACAAAGGCCAGAAAACGATTTTTTTATGGCTACGGTCGTTTTCTTTAGGAAAAAAGAGCAGACAATGCAACTTACAAAAGAAGGCACTCAGGTGGTAGGGAAAAGAGCAACAATTCTACTCGACATTCACTCAAGTACAACACATGAGCAAATAAAACCCTGCCAGTAATCAGACTCTGTAAGCATTCAAATAGAAAAGAGATGAAGAAGATGCCAGCACTGTGATAGGCCGGGGATGTCATCTAATGGTAGGTCTATACCTAGGGTCTGTAATACATAGCATAGTTGTGGTATAGAAGATGAGGGTTGGTGGTGTATGGCATTCTTATGGTAAGCACCTATACGGTCCCAGTTTACTTAAAGTGGACCTTAAAGTGACATTAAACCCTCAGATTTTTTAACATAAAACAATAGTGTAATGTGTGCCTTACTGTAATCCATGGTTGTTAGGAGCCTAACACTACAGGGTTTATTTATAAGCATACAGGTGAAACTCGAAAAATTTGAATATCGTGCAAAAGTTCATTTATTTCACTAATGCAACTTATCCGTCTACCAGGAGATTTTGGAGCACTTCATGCTTTCTTCCGCAGACGAGCTCTATGGGGATGCTGATTTCATTTTCCAGCAGGACTTGGCACCTGCCCACGCTGCCAAAAAATTTCTGAGATTGTGGATCTGGGTTTTCATGAGCTGTAAGCCATAATCATCACAATTATGACGAATCACGACTTGAACTATCTTGCTTTGCATGTAATGAGTCTATCTCATATATTAGTTTCACCTTTTAAGTTGCATTAGTGAAATAAATGAACTTTTGCACGATATTCTAATTATTCGAGTTTCACCTGTATGCGCCAAAGATTCGCACATTTTCTACATGGATTCCATTTGGAAAACATATGAATCTTGGTTGAAAGTTGTGTGAATCTTGTGTGAAAATAAATTATAAATAGGCACCCTAGAGCTGTCTAAGAGAGTAGAGTGATGATTTTACCAGTGATTTGCTGCTACGGTGCCATGCTTGGCTGGGTCCTACCAGGCTCTATTGTTTAATTGCAGGGGAGTCTGTAGAGATGTCCCAGGTAGTGTAGGATCTGACTGTGCTGTCTGGCAGGAGAACCTTGATCCAAAGACTGCCTGAACAATCTTGCAAATCTTTTGCAAGATAAGACAGTTCACATAGAGGTATTTTAACTGTGTGCTGTATATAGCTAAGCCTGGAGCTTGGCTTTAATGTTTATCCTTGTTTTGCAGTTACTTTTTCTCTGGTCACGGCACAAAACTAGCAAAGACGCTTTAAAAACAGAATAAAAATGGACCCCGTGTTTGACATCTGCACCCCACTGACAACGTGTTTCAAGTCATCAGCAAACACCACTGTCGTGTATTGTATTTGTACAAAAAGAAATGGAAAGAAAATGTAATGCTAATGTTCATGTAAACAAATAAAATAGGAAGTGCACTGTACTGCTGTTTCCTTACCGTTTACCGATAAAAAATGAATCAAAGGCTGAAGTAAAAGACACCCCTGCAGATCCACAGAAAGTCACTAAAGAAAAGGAACAGCATCCAGAATATACAACGCACATTTCAAATATTATTTGTGTTTCCAATATAAATGTATGCAGTTGTATGTTCTCCGTGCTGGATATAGTTATTTGCTGTTTCATTTCCTGGATAAAGGGTTTTCTTTTCACATGACAAAGGCCAGAAAACGATTTTTTTATGGCTACGGTCGTTTTCTTTAGGAAAAAAGAGCAGACAATGCAACTTACAAAAGAAGGCACTCAGGTGGTAGGGAAAAGAGCAACAATTCTACTCGACATTCACTCAAGTACAACACATGAGCAAATAAAACCCTGCCAGTAATCAGACTCTGTAAGCATTCAAATAGAAAAGAGATGAAGAAGATGCCAGCACTGTGATAGGCCGGGGATGTCATCTAA